GGTCCCTCAGCACTGACCCTCCGACAGTGCGGCGCTCCCTCAGCACTGACCCTCCGACAGTGCGGCGCTCCCTCAGTGCAGATGACCATATAATGGGTTCTGACGCCAAACAGTGCCTCCTCGGAGTGAGCTAGTGACTCGCTCCCACTGACATGGATGCTGACTGTATCGCGTCCGTGTTGTTGACAGTTGAACCCTCCTCCAGTCGCGAGTAAGCCACTGAGAGTGAGTGTTCCTGAGTTTTACGGGACCTGGGACAAGCCCAGGAAGGTACATGCTTTATGACCTGTGCGTGAGTGCACACCCCCATTTCGATCTGAACCCTTTGTTTTAGAACATTACAGCGCAGTACAGGCCCTTCGGCCCTCGATGTTGCGCCGACCTGTGAAACCAATCTGAAGCCCATCTAACCTAAACTATTCCATTATCATCCATATGTTTATCCAATGACCATTTAAATGCCCTTAAAGTTGGCGAGTCTACTACTGTTGCAGGCAGGGCATTCCACGCCCTTACTACGTTTATTCTGTCTCTCCCCATCCCTCTTACTAAAATAAACTCTTTCACAGCTCTCTGGGTGGCATGACGTTTTTCCCCCCATAACCCCATCCTATCCTTGCCCCCTCGAATATCTTCTGCGAGGGTTGGACTGACAATATCAAGAATCCCCACATCCCCGTCTCAGGGATTCACCTTTAAGACTCCTCAAGCCCCATGTCTCAGCCGATCAGGGCAGGAGGCCATTCGACCCCCTTCTCCAGCCTGTTACACAGGGGAACAGGAGGAGGCCATTCAGCCCATTCTCCAGTCTGTTACACAAGGAACAGGGGAAGGCCATTCAGCCCCCTTCTCAGGGCCGGGAGCAGGTTTGGGATCTCGCTGACTGGATACGGGGCGACGGGGGTGGGGGCTGGTGGAGGCGACACAGTTTGAGCCCGTTGTGTGTGTTTTCGCCAGGTGCCAAGTGCAGTTACATCCTGGCACTGAGCTGCCTGCTGAATACCCAGGGGCACCTGAAGAGCATCCACGCGCGGATACAGGTCGCTATCCAACTGCTGCTGAGTGACGTTCTACAGGGGCTCCGGGCCGATGGCAGCTTCGGCAGTGTCCACGACACAGGCCTGGTCCTCCAGGTACCGCCTGGGGAGGGGAGCAGGGAACTGGGGGGGCAGGGGGCTGCTAAAGGATAGAGCGGAGACCCACCCCCTACTGTATCCCCCATAACCCTGCATTTCCCACCCTAACCTGCACATCCCTGGGCACTACAGCACGGCCAACCCACCCTAACCTGCACATCCCTGGACTGTGGGAGGAAACCGGAGCACCCGGAGGAAACCCATGCAGACACAGGGAGAATGTGCAAACTTCACACAGACAGTCACCCGACGGTGGGATCGAACCCAGGTCCCTGGTGCCAAGAGTCAGCAATGCTAACCACTGAGCCACCATCCAGGCTCTCATTGGCATTAGAGAGAGATGGAGGGAGAGAGATAGAGATTGAGAGACAGAAAAGTGGGGGAGGGAGAGAGAGAAGACAGAGAGAGAAAAGGAGAGGACAGGACAGAGAGAGAGCGAGACCGAGAGAGAGAGACAGAAAAGTTGGGGAGGGAGAGAGAGAGGACAGAGAGCGCGAGACAGAGGCAGAGAGAGAGAGGGGTGGGTGACACAGCACATCATGTCCCCTTCGAACTCCATTTTGATTTCGCCCCTTCCCTCTCTCCGTACACCCAACCCCTACCCTCCCCACCTCACTTTTGATGGCTTACATTTCCCACACTGGGCCTGGTAAACGCTGAATTAGCTACAGGAGTACTGTAATGATTTAATAGTTTTGGGGGAGAAAAAAAAGCACAAAATGTA